GACCAAAGCCACAGAAAAATGGTTTAAAGACAACAAGGTGAGTGTTGTGGAGTGACTGAGTCAGAGCCCAGATGTCACTCCAACCCAGAATAAGTGGCTGAACTTGAAGAGGGCTGTTGACTCATGGTCTCTGTGTCACCTGTCACAGCTTTAGCAGTTTTACAAAGAAAACTGAGGTAGAAGTGCAGCATCCACATGTTCAGGCTGACTGAGGTCCATCCACACAGACAGTGCTGTTACACTGCAGCCAGAGGTGACTCTACTAAACACTGTCTTGAGGGGGTTGAGTATTAATGTACGTATACATTTAGTAGCTTTTATTTTGTAGCAGCCAGAAGCATCATGTGAACCAGGATGAAGAGGGAACCCACACTTGTTTCATCTGAAGCTATAAGAGGCTTGTTAGCAGTGTGAGCACACTGTCGGCCTGCTCGGGGCCGATTAAAAATACATAAAGGATAAAGTAATTCCAGTGTTATCTTCTTTTTTTTTTTTTGCCGAGTGGAAACTATGCAGAGTCAGACCGAACGTTCTGTAGCAGCGATAGCACAAACACACTTTGGCTACGAGCAAACCAAGCAGCAGTTTGGCCCCGTTACGCATAATAAAGCACGACTCGGCTGCCAGTCTGCAGGAGATGTCAGATCCAGCTGTTCCTCTGAAAGAAAGGCTGGAAGTTGGCGAACAAAGGAAGGAACACCAACCTCTGAGCAGCTATTGACATGTGACTAGCACTTTGTTTGACTGAGCTTCCCGCAGACGCAGAGTTAGACGCTGCCACCGAGACTCGAGTCGTTTTCTTCGGCTTCTCGGTGAACCGTGTTTGTGTTTTTACTGGGAAGTTTGTGCAGGTCAGCGTTTGGCCAAAGACACCCTCAACATCCTGTCGCATCGCATTAGTCAGTGTTGGCAGTTTTATGTTTGAACCATCAGTAGACTGTCAAAAATTAAAATATGAGCTAAAACTGTGAAAATCTGCTGAGAAGGCCACCAGAAAAAAAAACACATATATATAACCAAAAAAAAAATGATATTTTTAGCTGATTTATTACAGTGAAATTGTATTTTTTTTCACACATGGTAAAAGGAATAATATTCTTTAAATTACAAATTTTTGATGTAGGCATTATTTAAAGGCTTTTGATTTTTTTAAAACAATCGTCAATGTAATTTATGTGGTGTTTTCCCAGATTTTACTGAATATTATCTGTAAATTAAGAAAACAGGAAAAAGCACGGTGGTGGCACCATCATGATGGGAAGTATGGTGGTGGCAGCATCATGATGGGAAGTATGGTGGTGGCAGCATCATGATGGGAAACATGGAGGTGGCAGCATCATGATGTGGTGGCAGCATAACCCACTTGTACGATTATAAGCCTATTAATTTATAGTAATATTTAAAATAATTTTCTATACATGAATGCACAACAATGTCAGTATTTGTGCCTGTTAGTGTACGTTAAAGCACCACTGGGGGAGAAATGCAATGAAATATTTAGCATAAACACAGTAATGCTGATATTAAAGCAGTTCATCATGTTGGGTTTGTTTTTATTGAGGCTGGTGTTTGGAGTCTTTTCTTTAATGTTTCAGTGAACATCTGGAGTTCAGAGGCAGCTGAGTGACGGACGGATCAGTGACAGCAGAAGAGTCCATGTCAGGGGATAAATACGTATATGTGTTGTTGGTTCTTTTACAAGGTTTGACTGCAAAACGACATTTTATTTACTGTATTTAAATTATTAAAAAGTCAATTATGTATATGAGGATTGAAAAATGGGAAATTAGTTTTTTGGCTGTTTGGTTAAATTACAGAATATCTACTAAAATAAGAGCAAATAAATAAATAAAAATAACCTGTTGACTTTACAAAACAAAGCAACAAACAAAAACAGACCACAACTATAAATAAACATCAAAAATGTTTACCTGTACAAATAGTTTTCTGCTATTTGAAAGCGTTTGATTTCAAAACGACACCATGTGTGCTGTATTTAAATTAGAAAAAAACTAAATTATGTAAATCAAGTGTTGAAAAATGAGAAATAAATAAATTTATTTTACTTATTTATGCTGTTTTCTCAAACTACAGAATATCACAGCAAATGAAAAAAGATTTGTTGACTTTACAAAACAAAAGAAAACACAACAAAATTTTAAAAAGTGTAAAGTTTTATCTTATGTGTATTAAATGATGTTATCAGTCACGTGATTGATCATTCATTTTATTCTGTATATTATAATAACTATAAAATGTGAAGTCAGTGGAATTATTGTGAAAATACAGGATTTCAGGAAGTGAAATACTCACAACAAGTCCTGAAAAACTTTTAAAAATATTCTCGCTTGTTAAAAAAAACCACCAGTCACGCATTAAAGGGTTAAAAATCACCAAAAACAGTTTCTAAAACCAAACCTGGCTGTTGTTGCTGGTGTCTGTAGATGTCATTGTTGCTGTTTGAACCGGAGCAGTGACATCATGTCCTTATGGAAATGTGTCCCGGCGAGGCCCCTCCCTGTCCGGGTGACATCAGCCGGAGCTCGGCTTCTTTCCTCCAGGAGTCTCGGTGGATCCACATCCAGCTCCGCCGCCCGCCGGAGAGCTCGACGCTCGGAGCCCCGCGCAGCGCTTCTGTTCCCGGGACAAAAGCAGACCGCTTCTCCGCCAGGTAAGCTGCCGCCCCGTCCTCCGCCTCCGTCCGCGTCGTTTTTATATTTTTATTAGTAATTATTTTGTTTTTTTTTATGTTGCTGGTGAAAATGTTTCTCCAGCTGGAAGCGACAGTTTTTCTTTTTTTTTTTTTTTCAAGCTGTAACTTTTGTCTGTGGAGGAGAAGCTCCGCTGCTCCTGTCGAGCAAGAAAAAGAGAAAAGCGACGGTTCAGCGACACCAGAGCGGGTTTTATTCATCTTTTATTCTTCTTTTATTCTCTTTAAAGCCTCGCTGTGTTCGGTTCGGTAACGGTTCGCTGCTTGTCGGATCTTTGGGTGGATCTTTTCTTTCCTACCTGCTGGAGAACTACAGCTCAGGAAAGTCCGTTTGTTACCTTCTGAAGTTCTTCAAGGATTCATGGAGCCTGACGGAGGATTAACGGTGGATATATGTTGGGTAGATGTTGGATTAACGTTGGGCAGAGGTTGGATATATGTTGGGCAGAGGTTGGATAGACGTTGGATATATGTTGAGTATATGTTGGGTATACGTTGGGTAGATGTTGGAGAGATTTGGATCAACGTTGGGTATATGTTGGGTAGATGTTGGATTAACGTTGGGTAGATGTTGAATATATGTTGGATATACGTTGGGTAGATGTTGGATATATGTTGGATATACGTTGGGTAGATGTTGGATATATGTTGGGTAGATGTTGGATAGACGTTGGATTAACGTTGGGTATATGTTGGGTAGATGTGGAGGAGCAGCTGCTGCTGATGCTCTGTATGTTAATGTTCAGTCTCCGGTTTCCATGACAGCGAGTTAAACACAAACACAAGGGAAGATCTGACCTCCTCTTCATCTTCTTCATCTCCTTCATCTCCTTCATCTTCTCAGTGGAGCCCTGAGCTCCAGGGGTTCAGCTTTACTCTGCTCTACACTGTAAAAAATGAAAAACAAACAAAAAAAAAGCAAAGCAAAATCAGTATTTTTAGAATTTGTTCCTTTGTAAACGTTAAATTTCCCCATTTTTTACTGTATTTGCATCAGAAAAAAAAGAAAAACAAACAAACAAAACCCTTCACAGATGTTTACGGTTAGTTGAAAGGAAAATTATGGATATTAAAGTTTAAAAAAGGTAAATTATGTTTTAACTGTTATTCTACAGATCATTCCTGTTTTTTTTTTTTTTTTTTAATTACAGGTAAAAAAACAGTAAAATTACAGAAAAAATATAAGTTCATATTTTGACTGCAAAAAAGTAAATAATGTCCACGTAATCATATTTTATATTTTTATTTATTTTCACAAATGGCACATATCGTAAGCTTCTTGTACAATGTGTAACCATAACATTCCCCCATTTCTACTGAATTTAAATCAGCAAAAAAATGTGTTATTTTAAATACTCACTGCTATTTTAATATTTTTTACAGGCTTTAAATAAAACAGTTTTCCAGTCTCGTCATTTTCACATCCTGTAAAAACTTATGTTTGTACAGTTTTTAACAGCATTTTTTTTTTACAATTAATTTTATTCATTTATTTATTTTTTGCTGGTTTTTCCTGTTTTATTAAATAACAGGTATCAATTAATAAAAATTACACTTAATTACTTTAAAACAAGGGCCAAAATGTCAATAATGTCATTTACAGCATTTGTTGCAATTTTTTGTTTTTTACAGAATCTGCTTCGATTAAATGGTTTATTTTTTGGCACTGAGACGCGTAGAATGAAGTGATTTTGGTGAAACATCATGATTTTAGGCGTGAATCGGTAAATGTCCCTGATGGATGAACAGTTCATGGACTGATTAGTGGTAACGGAGGTTGTTTAAAGTTTGCATCCTGAGTTCAGGCTGAAATATCTCGAGAATTATTCAGTGGATTTACATCAGAGATGGTTCATCTCCTCCCTCAAGATCAGCTGTAATAACTTGAATGAGCTTCAGTTTTCATTCATCAACAGCAAAAGAAATAAAAACAAAAAAAATACAGGAAACTGAACCAAAAACAGAGCACGTGTACGTCCGTAGAACAAAAGATAGAAGATGATAAAAGCCTTAAAGTGAATTTTCTCCTGCAGCACGAACTGAAGCAGAACGTCCTGAATGTGTGGATTTAGCAGCAGCAGGTTTGATGTGATTTCCATGGACGTGGCATCGTGGCCTTGACGAGACGTTAACTCCTCGTAGAGTATTCACAGTAAATAATGCACCGAGGCCAGATGTTGGCTGTCAGTCAGGGTGTGCAGATGTTTAAATCCTGATCTCTTTTTTTTCCCTGTGGCTTCACGTACGAGAGGTCGGCCGACCCCAGGAGGACGATAAACTGACTTTCTGTGTTTATACTTTGCAGAACGTAAAGAATCAATACAAGGTTTGGGCTTTTAAATCCGTTCATTTCTGTAGACGAGCTCCGATTTGTCCCATTCGTAGAAAACCTGTCAGCGCGCTGATGGAACGGTAAAGGAGGCTGATGCACTGTGATGAGCAGGAGTCTCTGGAGGCATAATCAGGTGATCAGACCGTCATCGAGGACCAATCAGAGCTGAGAGTTTTCAGATTCCGTCAAACAGTTCTGCTGAGAGCTTGTTTTGTTCAAGCAAAAGTCAGAAACGTCCCAAAATATTCAGTTAAAAATGATTTAAGACAACGAAAAGCAAATATTTGACACTTTTTCTGCAACTTTTGCTTTGAAAACATCGACTTTTCAAACTATTAATTGAGCCAAAATGTTATTTATCGATCAACTAATCAATTATTTAGCTTTCAGTTCTAACTCATATATACATCATCAGCTGATGATTAATCGATTAGTTATCAGCTGCTAATTTAACTACCAGCTATTTTAGTGATTCAATAACAAGTTTGATCATTTTTTTAAAGAAACAAATACAAAAAAAACTAACTTCCAGCTTCCTCAAAGTGAATGTTTTCTGTATTTTTCCTCCACTTTGACAGCAAAATGATGCACTAATCAGCATTTTTCCATCACTTTCAGACCAAACAGCTCATCTATTAGTTGCATAAATAATTTACAAATTAGTTAACAGTGGAAATAATTAATAATTGCAGCCTTAATAAGCACACAGCACCAGAGATACATCAAAAATACAGCCAAGAAAGGTAAAGAACATTCAAAACAAAAATAAAAGACAGGAAATGTAGTTTCTCTGAAGTCATAGAGCAGCTAAAATGTAAATTAAAATGAGGTTAATTAAGTAAATAGAACAAAAAAACACATATTGTAAGACTAGAGTACACATGATGACAGAGAAAGTTCTAGGAAGTCGGCTGAGCTCGTCCCGGTGCTTCGACAGGTTTTCTGGTCGACGCATCTCTTTGGACGCTTTTAAAAAAATGTCTCTTCTTTTGCTCTTTAACTTTAGTGCGCAGGAAGTTTCAAATACTTTAATTTAATTCCCAAAACGGGTTCATATGTCAATATATCACCGTTTCCACGGTGCCAGCCTTGTTTACGACTTCAGAAGATTCAATTTTATGCACGTTTAAAGCTCTGAACTGTGAAAGGAATAAAAATAATCACTTAAATGTTGTTCAGTTCACCAAATTTATCGTTAAAGGACCAATTCAGCTCTGATCATGCAGTTTGTTTTTACTGTCCACGTAGTGATTCCAGCTCCTACATGGACACTAAGATGTTATTAAAGTTAATTTCATTCATGTTGGTTAAAGTTTCCACCCTCTGAACCCCAAAACATGTTCAAAAGACAAGTTATCCTGAGGAAAAAAATGCCACAATTGCACCAGAAACCAGAAAGTTCAACCAAATTTCAGCTCAAAATCGTGATATTTCATTAAAACCACTATTTAAAAAAAAAATCACCAAAAACAATCATTCAGCTATAACCAGATTCTGTAAAAAACAAAAAATTCTGTGCTTGTCAGCGCAACTGAGGAGCCATCAGTGACTCAGCTGTGACCAAGAGTCATTTAGCAAAAATTCAGGAAGTTTTAAACTGAACTGCAGGCAGTGTGTTAGAATAAAAACATCTATATAATGCAGAGGCAACATTTTTTTCAGTTTTGGTAACACTCAGGGACACTTTGATTGCAACAACTTCTTTATTTAAGATTTATGTCTTTGTAACTTTGCTGTGCTGCTTAAAACACATTAGTGAGCCCTCTCTACTTCTGGTCCTGGTTGTTTCTGTAGAGGTGCAGGATTTTATGTTGTTGTAAAAAAAATGAGCCCACAGGGAGTAAAAAAAAAACCCTCCCAGAAACTGTAAGTTAATGCCTCGTCTGACTTTAAATAACATGTTTACTAAAAAAAGGCCACAGCAGCAGCAGCAGCAGCAGCAGCGTATATTTACATGCCCCGGAGCACACACGCTGTTTTACATCATCGAGTTCATTTAACTGTATGAAAATCAGCTCAAACCTCTTTGATCTGATAAAAGCGCCGCCGCGGTGGCCAACGTCGTACCTGCTGTTAAATCCATATACACCAAGGCTTCAGCTTCAGACTGTTTTCTCTTTTTCCCCGCAGCCTGCTTTTACATGTTCAGCTTCAGGAGAGCCTCGAGGTGCTCGTCGTTCCCTCCAGGCGGCCTGTTTGCAGCCTCGATGCTAATTACCTCTCGCTCCGACCGCCAGCGTCATCGATCTTCACGCGCGAAAGGGGAGCGACGCAAGTTTATTTGAGTTGGGCCGTTTGCTGCGCTTTACGTAACGCATTAAAACAAATACAGCAACGCTCTAAATCTCCAAAGGGAGCTTCTTCTTTGGAGAGACAGGTTTTAATTAAGGAACAATGCTGGCAGTCATATCATATAGGCAGCAGATCCAGTGAACCCGCCGAACCCGGCCGAGCGTTCGTCTGCCTCCGAACATCTCCTGGGCTGAACTCGCTGCCCCGTCTGTGGCTCTCAGCTCCACTGAAGATGTAAAAAACAGAACACACGCTAAAAAAAACCCCACTCTTCACTTTTTGAAGCGCCGTTTCCTAAAGCAGCTGCTCACTGTGGCTACTTTTGCAAAGTACAGTA